AGGCTATTACGTGCTGCATCCGGCCCACGGACCGCACTTTTGGGAGCCCAGGCCTGTAAGGATGACGGTACGAAACCATCAAGCACTCGCCTCCTTCCAAATCCCTTCCTGATCGCATTTCGTCCGTCTTGCAGAAGGGAACCTGGAGAAGGCGGTCCAGCACGCCGTGATGGTGGGAAGGGAGGCGCAGTGCCGCGTGCCGAAGCCTCGGCTGGTCCAGGTAAAGGACATGTACCCGCACCCGAGCAAGACGTACATCCCCCACTGCACGATTCTGCACCAGTGTGGCGATGATACAGGCTGCTGCAAGTCCGACACCCTCACCTGCACCGCGCGCAAGACGGAGTCCGTGGAGCTCTACTTCTACGTGAGTACCAACCCGCAGTTCTTATGTGCTCACCTGTTGTGCAGTCGACGATGCGTCATGTGGTCTGGTAGACGTTTACCAACGTTTCGGAGGTCCTTCATGCTTCCATCATCAGGGCGGTTGCCGGAAGATGCCGGTACCCTTATTGGAATACTATTCATATGAAATTTCGCGAAAATCGGTTGGTTCGAAAGATTTTGGGTAGGTCCGCTCACATGCATGAACTGTAAGCCCATAATTTTTAATTGTAAGTTGTCATAGAAAAGTTAGGTTAGCTCTGATGTTTTTTGAGGATCGCAGGACGATGGGCCGGGGATCTTTCGATTCGTGGTTGATCACAGACGCTGCCATGTCTGTCAGTCTGATTTTTATCTGCGACAAGGAACGTGCGAAGGAGATGCTCGGATATCGTCCGGAATTACGAAGTTCCCTGTCTGCGTGTCTCGTCGCCGTGGAATATTGATGCGTCGTGTGTGCGTAAGCAGAGGCAGATCGTAGTTCCGTGGCGATTCGTTGGCAGAGGAAAAGGAAACGCCCAAGTTCAATTTGCGATGCAAATCAAGTGTTGCTGCTGCTTTATCTAAATCCACGGCAGTGACGAATGTCGGCCTTGAAGCATCGCAAATAAGTTACGTAGAATTATGCACTTTCTTCAGACAGCTTCGTCAATCATCCGTGTCTGGACGTGGATAACATGAGAGAGACGCAAAATGGATGCGTGTGAAGAGAATCAACCACTTGGGAGACCTAGTCGTAGATGGGAAAATTATTTTGAAGTGATTTTTCGCTCGCGTTATTACAGGATCTTGTCTGCCACTGCATTTCTTTGACGTTAGAAACACGTGGTGAAGGTGGCGCCCTGAAAATTTTACAGTCGAGGAAATACGAACAACAGCGCCATGAGAACGAACGTGGTTCTTAGGGTAATCACACACATGTACAGGTTGGAAATGCAGGAAATCACGTTTTAATGGCCACCCCAGAAAAGGTGTTATTCGAATGATGATATTGTTTGGGTTAAAACGAAAATTTAACTTGCGAGTTATGTTGGACAATACGTATTAGGAACTTCGATTCGGGAACCTTAATGCAAGGGACAAATTGGGAGACCGAAGCATAGATGGAAATAATAACCATTTTGTTGAGATGTAAACTTGCTGAAGATGTGGTCCAGTTTTCTTGATCTATTGTTTGTCAACTGTGTTACGAGGCAAACACAATTTTATTTCTGTAATTAAAGAACACAGCAGATTAAAACTTCACGCCAAGTAGAACCGAGGAAGGTAAAGGCCTGGTGTATGCGCCTACATTCGAGTGTGGAGGATTTTTTAGTATCGAAGTATCATTGAACTGTTCCTATTTTTAACCATCTCATTTCCTTTGGTATTGTTCCAGCGGCAGTTAAAATTGTTCTCGTTTGCCCAGTAAAAGACGTACAAAGGTTGTAATAATACACTTTAAGGCAGTCAACATCCAGAATTCAGTGACCGGCTCGTTGTATAAACTTGTCCTGTCCAATGAGCTGCTGGGAACATCCACGTTCCACCGGTTACACTGCATCTTCACCACGTCAGAATGTCCTCCAGGGAGGACAGTCCTTAAATCAGTAGAGTCCATCGGTAATTAATGATTCGTGACACTTCTGGTGCTGAAGGAACTTTGATTACCACCGGAAGGAGTCGCCTTGGAAGTTGCTATTTTTCTAGAGTGACCTCTTGCAAGTATCAGGGCCCGCTGTCTCTTACTCAGTCACTCTCGGTATTGTGTCATTTAACAGGACGCTGATCGGCCGAACTCTCGCGGTCGTAGCGAACAGAGATCCCACTTTGTGTTACCGGGAATAGAACCCCGGCTTCTGGTTCGCAGCTCTCAGTTAACCGGCCTGTCACGATTGTATTTTTGCGACGCTGTATCAACTGCGGAACCCACAATAACTAAACAATTATGTCGCGTCTGACAGGTTACACGTTCTTCCGAAACCGCGGGCGAGAAATTTTCCGCGTTTCGGAAGTTTTACGAACGGGTGCAGTATTTTGCCCTTGGCATTCTGGTGCGTTCTGAAGGAACACCCTCTGGTCGTGCTGATTTTACCAACAGCAGGATTACTGCATCGGTGTTGTGTAATAAAGCCTTTCGCTTCGCGGTGACGATGTTTGATAAGAGAGCGTAATATTGTTCTTACCAACCACACAAGACAAATAATAACTGCATTTTGAACCGCGGACCCATTCGTATTCACCGCACACCGACATTCAGCTTTCAAAAATAATTTCGTCTACGCCACCAACGCAAGCAATTGGTGATTATTTTATTTCGAAACAAGTTGCAGTCAGACGTGGCCGAAATTTATAACAGCCCTGCCCCGAAACATCAGCATTGCTCGCGCGACCACCCGCCAGGTGGTTCACAACGTGAATGTAGTTCCTGGAAGACACTCCTAAACACTTCGGGACTGGGAAGTGTAATTACAGTGGTTGATGCGTTCCGTGTGAAGTAGGTGAATAGCCCGTTAAAATCAACGGGACATAATATCTGTAGTTGCCTCGCGTCATTCTCACCCAATTCCAGAGAGGCGATATAGTCCAGGCGTCGTCAACATGTGTCAGTATTGTGCCACTCTACGTGACGAATTCTCTGAGCTGATGGACCAAAATCAGTACTCACAGCCTTCGTTAAACGTTGAATTCTGTGCACACACATTCCTGTCCATTGCGGTAGGCAGCCACGATTTTTCAAGAAGTGTTCGAGTCGATAAGGAAGGCCCTTTCGCGGGGCCCTGGGTCTGGGGGGGGGGGGGTCAAGAGGTCATGATCCGGTCAAAGGACTAAAGGTCAGATATGTGGCAACAAATAACAGTTTATCTCTTGCATCTGAGGCAGCAACATCGGTTACGTTCCAAGAGAACGAAGAAGTTCTCTCTCGCCAATTGAAGTAAATCCTGGAGGGAGGGGAGAGAGACTGAGACTGTTGTAGTTACATGACCTAAGCGCTTTTGATGGACACTGCCGGTAAATTTTACAATTTAGAATTTTTGATGTTCAAAAACCATATAATTGACAATGCCCCGCCTGCGTATCATAATATCAGTGTTACTGTAAGCGTAAATGTCACAATTTAGAATTAACGAAGAGTTATTAAAGTTTCCATTAGAATTTTAAACGCGGACTGTGCGCACGTTCTCTGAAGCTGTTCCCGGGCCGCGCTGTTGACGCCTCTGGTGGACAGGAATAGCGTCCTGAAGAAGGCCTTGAGGAGCACACGAAGTAGCGAGGCTCGATAAGTTTTATCAAGGTGAACTTCAAGCCTGCCCTTAACCTGTCCTGGCTGAATTACCAGGAAACTGACGCGGGAGACAGTGCAGATAACGTAGCTCCAGAAAGGAGGTCGCGAGCTGTCGTCTGCGTACATCTGATTGGTCCTACTTCTCGGCAGCTGCACAGAGATTTAAATTAAGTCTCCGTGTAAGTTTTACGAGAGTCACATTAAGACGAGATTAGGTCCGGCTCCTGAAATGTCGGATATTATGTGAAAATACAAGTAATTAAAAATGAGTCCATATTTTATAATTCAACCCTTTGCGGTCCCTTTTAAATACCTCTGAGCTGTATAAATTCAACTGCTATTATGAACTGTTTTGATTTTATCTTTTTCAACTTGCATTAAACGGAAGACACTTCGCTAAATATGGTGAAAATATGTTCTGAGAGGTTCACACTTCCTCTTGTTTGAATACTGACCGTGTGGAATATTTTCCACGGACTGTACCACAGTCGCTGTTGAGGTGCGTAATAAGTGTTGCCTTTCTGATTCCTGTCGTTCCATAGAGGTGAAAGTAAGTCCAAGACTTTGGCGACGTCTAAACATCTCTTTATTGCATGCATAGGCATTGGATTTCATATTCTCAGAGCTGTGATTCCATTAGGGCTGATTGTGTTCGAAAGTTCAAGACGAACACCAGGAAATTGAAACAGAACGCGAAGTGTAAACAATGAAGTCACTGCACATAAATAAATCTTGATAAGAAGACGAAAGAATACGCACATGTCAGTGGTAGATTGTTCTATGCGACAAAAATAATTTAAAAAATATAATTTCCAATCAGGAAGATGGGATATTTGTTTTATAACTTTATCAGATATAAAATACCTCTATTTTAAGTAAATATGACAGCTACACACCCGATGGTATTCCTTCACTACATGATGTATGGCAAAACACTTGGTGTGGAATCCTGGCTTCCTTAGACACGAGTCAGAATAAAACGA